GTGTGTGTGTGTGTGTGTGTGTGTGTGTGTGTGTGTGTGTGTGTGTGTGTGTGTGTGCGTGTGTGTGTGTGTGTGTGTGTGTGCGTGCGTGCGTGCGTGCGTGCGTGCGTGCGTGCGTGCGTGTGTGTGTGTGTGACTCACTTATTGTGGACTTACTCTGGAGACCACCAATTGATGGCTATCAAAGGCAGTCATTAATTTCCATAGCATTGTCGGCTTATTGTCTTTTCATGTCTATACTTTTGATTTTTAGCGATTTCCATCCGGCAATAACGCTTACGACCGACCGGTGATTCCTAAAACACGGACACCTCCAGCCAGTGTGTTTGGGCGTGCGCTACAAGAAAAAACGACAAAATCAACAGTAGCCATACCAGCAGCATCGGCAATAACAACATCAACAACAACAATGACGACGACGACGATGACAAACATGTGTCTTTACGATACTTAGACATCTACAGCCAGTATCTACACCCGAGCTTGCTGAGTTTCTTTTGCCGAGGAAGAAAAATTCACCGGTGTTCTCCGTACGCGCAGTAGCGGCAGTGCGCTCCCCGCCTCCGTGTGACGTCACTGGTCGTGGCGACAGCATGCGGCGTCGGCGTGTGTCCGGTCACCGCTTGCGTGTGGTCATCCTGGCTGCTAGCACTGCTCTCATGCTTGCTAACCTCTATCTCATCTACCGCTTCGCGCAGAGTCCGTCCCGTCATATCCTCCAACGTGCACTCGCAAACCGCGCCTTCGTAAATAGCAAGAAAACCCTCCCTTCGACGGATCTTGACTCTCAACAAGATCCTAACACTTACTCTTACCTTAACCTTAACCATCACCCTAACCTTCACGCTAAGTCCAACGATGGGGAGATACCACCTCCCACCAAACTTTGACAACACGAGTCCGACCTTCTACTCCCCGTTGGAGATGAATCAAGCGAAGGCGTTGCTCGCCGACCGATCGAACAGCGCCCATAATTGTTAATCCAGGTTGCGCTAGTGTCGCAGAGCAATGGCATAATGAGGAAACTGTGAGAAGACAAGAAGATTGAACGCCGAATCGCCGAGATGGCGTTGTCTGGACCGTGACGCATTGACCGCTATGTGTAGCGGGCGGCCCTGTACCTAAAATATTGTGCCTAACCCTGTGTTAAATTAAATCAATGATTCGATGAGAATTCATCTCGATACACGAGTAAATTACCTTGCTGCGCAATGCCTTCTATCGGAATATTTTTGACGGCGAGGAACATATAGCGTGTCGCCCCACACCGGCGCCGTGAGCGAAACATTTGCATGTTGCCGTTGCAAGAGAGAGAGAGAGGGGGGGGGGGAGAAAGAGAGAGGGGGAGAGAGAAAGAAAGAGAGAGCGAGAGAGAAAGGAAAATAGAGCGAGGGAGAGATATTATACAGAGGGAGAGAGAGAGGGGGAGAGCGAGAGAGAGAGAGAGAGGGAGAGAGAGAGAGAGAGAGAGAGGGGGAGAGCGAGAGAGAGAGAGAGAGAGAGAGAGAGAGAGAGAGAGAGAGAGAGAGAGAGAGAGAGAGAAATGTGATAACGTATACACGTACGTGCGTGCGCTTACGTGCGTTCGACGTTAGATACGCTGTTGAGCCGACTCAATTCTGACTGGGAGCGACTGATTAGCTGTCTTTGCGACGCATTTGCTCTCTGGAAGGCGCAAAGAATCCCTCTTATCGGTTATTTAGAAGTAATATATATTATATAGAACTATTATAGCAAGAAAACGCCGAAAAAGAGCGTTTTCGTTAATGATTCAGCAGCAATATTTTTTTCACATTTACGCGATGCCATTTCTTTGTGTTTGATGATTTGTTGGGGTGTGCGGGTGTTAAATTGCTAAAGCGCGTAATTAATATTTTTAATATTGCATACGTGACATTATGATGTACAGGAAAACACCGCCGATAGGATACATAGATTCTTTCCAAGTTAGCCTCAACATGGTTTCATTTATAATAGGTGCGTTACTGCAGAAAATCTAGGCTCAAAAGGTTCTAAATAGGTGTCTTAATTGTTTTCTACTTTTAATAGTACTATGCTGTAAAGCCCGGCGCACGTCGCGCGGCTTAGTCACTTGTGATGGCAGGTGTTTACCAGTACAGTATGTATGTGAGAGGTGTTTATGCGAGAGTTTAGTTGTTAGCACATGTTTTTTTTTTTATGGTTGAGATAATATTATATGATATATAGAATATAATATTAATAATATTTATTATTACTAGATATGATTGTTATGTGAGCATTGGCAGTTGGCAGTGGCATTGGCATTGTTATTGCATTCGATATTGTTGAGCTGCGTCTTTTTATGTTTACCTGTGTTTCTTGTAAGTCTTCATCTGCATGGAAAATTAAGAAACCGTACCTTAAATCATTAGCCTAAAACGTTCCTTTATGTAAAGGGGTCTAAATGGGAAATTTTAGCCTAACATGTTCTTAAAATCTATGTTCTTATACGCGGGTTTTTACTGTATTTGTCTTATTTTAGTATTTATGTTTTTTTATCCAATGGGGCGCACGCTTATATATAGTCTAGAAGATTTGCCTAGTATTTCGGTAGGATAACTGCGTATATCAGTCTACGTGATGCAGTCAAGGTTTGTTGTATTTATATAGGCGTCCTAAATAAATATGATAAACTTAATCTTGTGCTTTCAGTTTATGGTTTCAGTCACAGATGGCGCTAACATAACATCATCATCCGGGGTATTTCGCGTACTGTTGTAGTCGCTGCTGAACACGTAGTTTACTCTTTAGTTCGTTTTCCTGGCGTATTCTTCGCTTTTCTTCTCGATTTAAACATCATGAAGGGTCTCACGATGAAGAGTTTGAGAAATCACCCGTCTGTAAGTAATGCAATGTAACTTTCGCGGTATTCTGCTGAATTTATGAATCGTTATTGCTAAAAGGGCAAGAATTTGAAGAAATTTCGTCGCCCATTTTTACACGCCATGACCTTCACTTTCAGCCTGGCCTGGCGTAGTAGGCCTAGCTCTATTAACTATAGCCCGCGTACGGTTGCCGCTGGCGGCGTACACTTGGGACGTATACTTGGTGTTTAATTAACTTTTAGTATTTTAATTTAATTTGTCTTTTTAATAGGTCTGATATTCACACCTGCAGTCATCTTAATCTTCTGCGTGGCTAGCTTGTGCTAGGCATCACTTTTCATTCCTCATAAACTAGCATAAACTACTCGTAAACTATTATTAATATTATTAATTAAGGCCGTGGCTACGTGACCGGTTCCGGACGAGGAGACGCTAGGCTACGCGTCCGGACATCCATCTCACACAGTGATCTTGCGACACGTACACGCATTATTGCGCAACGGGACGCTATCCTGATTGACGAGTGCGTGTGTGCTCGTGTGTGTGTGTGTGTGCTTGTGTGCGTGTGCGTGTGTGCGTGTGTGTGTGCCGTGTGGGTGTGAGAGAGAGAGAGAGAGGTGTTTGTGTGTGTGTGAGAGAGAGAGAGAGAGGTGTGTGTGAAATCGCTCACGATTTGTCCCCGACCGCCGCATAGAAATAGAACCATTTCTATTCCTGCGATCGCAGTCGGCGACCGTATTTTCGATCGTAAGAGAACTCTTGTCGAGTTTAGTCGCCGATGTTTTCAAATTTGAAGATCGTACGTCAAAAACCGGCCAGATCGCCGATGAAAACATCGTTTTCATCGGCGATCTGCGCGGTTTTTGACGTACGATCTTCAAATTTTGTCGGCGAGCTAGGTTTTAAGGGCGACCTGAGTTAGCTTTAACGCTCCATTAGGAGCGTTCCCAACTTTAATGTTATTAATGTCGTGATATAGGTAGGTATCAAGGGGAGGACTAACCTAACCTAACTCACTTAACCTAACCATTAACGTATATTGTATATTTTCGGCAATCAGCAGAGCGTACCGTTGCGCAATCATGCATGTACGCGAGTCGCGCGATCACTGTGGGAGTGGGTGTCCGGATGCGTAGCCTGGAGGCTAGGCGATTGGTTCCGGACGCGTAGCCACTGCGTATTATTAATATTATTATATTATTATTATTATTATTATTATTATTATTAATATATTATTATTCTTTATTGCATGTAATTTAGATACAAATACATGTACAGTAACAGGCCTATTATATCAAGTCATGTGTAATTGGATCAATGACTGCTTGTTTGGGACCGCCCGCAATGGTGCAAATGTTTCGCCTGCGGAAGTAGGTTGGACATTAAAAGATTGTCAATTGTTGTAGCCCTACTTGTAAGTTGTAGGCAACATATAGTATATATTGGAACTTGGAAATGCCTAAGAGATCAAAAGTTGATTTTTAAAATGTTAGCTTTTTAAATTAACAACATCAAAATTTGTGATGCTTTTTCTGACCAACATTGATAAAGAAATGCGTAGCAATGAACTATAATTTTAGGAAAGTTATTATGATTGTACTTTTTAATAGGCTTTATGACATCACTCATTCTGTTGCTGTTTTATGAGAAACTGTTGTGATGTTATAGTTACTCACGTTTGGGTAGAACAACTCGAGTTTTGCATACACATTCACATTGTGATAAGTACTCGCCTTATTCTTTGGCATATGTCATGGCCACTATGCTCGGAACGTACTAATTTCATATTATATTATTTTTCCATTGGATACCACTGTTTGTATGTTTGGGATTTGGAGTCGCATTGTCTGGTGTATACCTGGCACGAGTTTAGCAGTAAAAAAGTCCGGAAGTTTCCGGAGTTCCAGTACCCAGGATAATTGTAACAGCAGCATTATGTTTGTGTGTTTTTTTTCTGCTAGTTGCCATGTTTACACACCATGGTAGCATTCTCGTGCACGATAGACTAACTTGGTTCTGGAATTATTTTCAGCATGGAGCTGCATTCCTAGACTGCTGTCGACTAAATAATCTTAATTTTTAAGTGCAATGTGAATTGTTAATGTATTATATAGAGTTTCAATCAAATTTTACCCTAGTGTTCATCCAAAAATAGACGGGGATTTTTAATAAATACAAATTCTATAAAGCCTTATGAATTATGAATCATTAAAGATGTTGTCAAATACAGGTACATAACGAATGCATAGCATTTTGAATATTTGTGAAAAACATTTTAAGTATCCAGCTATAAATGCCCCCAATATTTTTTGTGAACTATGATCCTGCAAGATCAAATCAAATATCTTAGAAAATATGTATCAGTTCTCTCCACCAACGATTACATTTCACAAGGCTTACTGATGAAGCGGCTGACTGGACAGTAGCACAGAATATAGCCATTTTCTTTTTGGATGAATTCATTAGATAACTTTTAATAAGGCTACTCATTTTCCACTATTTTTGACTATACTAGTAGTAGTGTGTCCCTATAATAGATACTAGATACAGCATGTATTAGTGAGGTGACTGTTTATATGTTTGATGCTTGTCTTTGCAAGTTCATATTGTAGTCATGCACATTTGTTATATAGTTGATTGAAGTATTGACTATTATTGGATGGTAAAGGACATTTATAGATCTATTTGTAATCTTCTAACAAGAAATATTTTAATGCACTAGCTCTGTACTGGTGTGGGAGCGCACATGCGTAGCTAAAATTCTGGTCCAGTTGCTAATATGGCCATGTCATAGTGTAGTCTTCGTGGACTGCAACTATTGTATAGGTAACACATTTGATTTCATCAATGTGTTATACTCAACTTATAGCATATATAATAGTATAATATACTATAATCCGGTTATGAAATTCATGGCTTTTTCATGGATGGTTAGAATATTTATAAATAGGCCCACTATTTATGACATTTACACATTTAAGTGATATAAGAATTATCACTAACGCAGATGTCAACCTACAGTGACATGTAGCCTACATCCTACAAGTTTCATGCGATAAAAAATCCATGAAGTCTATTTAATGTCCCTTCCCTTTTCTGTCTTCCTGCCAGCTAATCCGCTTGTTTATCTGCACTGGACTCGGTGTCGGCTGTGGCTGCATTCTACGTCTTCCGCCTTGGCACCCGCCCTGACATCAGGTCTGTTCCTTCACTTCTCCATTATCACTTGTTTAGTTCCTGCCTTCGTTAAGAAATCGCTGGTGCATACGAGCTGAGTCGGTGATTCTCGTACTGGTAGTTAATGATGTTAGAATTTATGCATCTATGCTAATCCCTGTTCCGTTCTTTAACTTCCTATAGTGTGAGTTATAAAATTTATATATGATATTTATGCCTGCGTAATTACATGGTTTGGATTTGGTTGTTAATTTGAAGATGGTTTCTACCACGCATGGCTTAATGTTTTCAACATTTCAAAATAATATTTCCAAAAACTTGTTAGTTGTTACACATGCAATCAAAACCATTACAACATATAAAATCCCTTCCTCCTCTTGTTTCCATTGCATGAGTTCAAATATGTATAAATATAGGCCACTAGTAGCACGTTATGCTTTACTTACTTGGTTTTCTGTGGTTACTTTGTTTGAATAGTGCCTCAAGCATGTGAATGCAAGTTTCAGGTTCTGTTATATTAGTATTATTAAAATATATATTAACATTAGTTTGCACGAATTAATTTTACTGGTTTGAATGAATACTAATCAATTTTTCACATTGGTTGTAGTTGTATGCCTCTTTTGTTGCTAGTGTTGGATTTGGCTGTATATTGGCTGGTGCTTATCTATACAGGCTAGCTGTTAAAAGCCAGTAAGTAAGGTAGGTAGTGAGTTTTCTAGATGTAGCTGCATGCCAGCCTGCCTGGCAGACATGTTTTTGGAGTACGTGCACATTGTGTTTGGCACAGCTTCATTTAACGTGTGGCATAATAGTTGCGGTAGTTTGTAGTTAATCAATGCTTGAAAGGTAGGAGGAAGTTTGTTATGTCATACCTTCATGGTTCTGATAGTTTACTTACAAGATAGTCAATCCTGTGTTAGCGGTTATAGCAGGTCATTAAAATTCCCTTGCCATAACTGCCATGTTAAAAGCCCTGTACAGAGCACGTCTACCTTTGCAATTTATACAATGGTTTGTATCCTTCTGTCTAGTGGGTTCCAAATGTACGTAACAGCCAACTTTCCTCCTATGGCGATCATACGCTAATCATACTAGATCAGTCACTAGGTAACCATATATAACCGCCACGTTTGTGGAATACTAGAGACTTCCAATCCATTGTATAATTGCGCTGTGGTCTTGGTTGGGAAAAAATTCACTCCCTTGTGATATGTGCTCTATTCTTCGTGTGCACTCTACCCATCACATCAGCTGTTGGAATCTGTTTTGTGTAGTCTGTACTAGTGAGTGTTGTGATTTGAATGGCACATGATCAGCACATGCCAAATTAGTCTCCAGTTATTAGCTGTTAAGTGATACCAGTCAAGTCTTTGGCTGCCAACTGGCTTGGTCTCCATTTGTTTCTGAATTGTCCTCATTTTGCCTTATATTTAGGTAATGTTTACAGCTATAATAAACTAAAGGTCATCATTGAATGCTCAAGGGTGGTCATTCGAACTCTTTGATGCATGCCATCAGTCATCAGTATCATAGGTACTTTGGTTGAAACTTGTAGCGGCAGCAGCAGCAGCAGCAGCAGGGCAGCAGCAGCAGTAGTTGTAGTAGTGTACCAGTAGTAGTAGTCAGTAGTAGTAGTAGCAGTAGTATAGAGTAGTAGTATAGTAAGTAGTAGTAGTAGTAGTAAGTAGTAAGTAGTAGTAGTAAGTAAGTGAGTATAGTAGTACTATTAGTAATAATAGTAGTTAGTAGAGTGTAGCCAAATGGAGCCCGTAATAGTAGTCGTAGCAATCGAAACAAATAGCAGAAATGTTAATTACATTAAAATACTAACTACT